AAATTTTATGATCAACAGTGTCAAAAGCTTTGGATAAATCTAAAAACAAAGATAGGCAACATTGTTTGTCATCAAGGGCTTTTATGATGTCGTTTGTGACCTTCATCACAGCAGTGGTAGTGCTATGATTTTTATGAAAACCTGATTGATAGGGTGAGAGGACAGAGTTTTTATATAAATAATCTTTTAATTGCATATTGATCAAGGATTCAAGCACTTTTGCGACAACAGAGAGTTTTGAGATTGGCCTATAATTATTTAGATTTGTTGGGTCACCCCCTTTTAGTAGGGGGATGACAAAGGCTGATTTCCAGTCATTGGGGATTTCGTTAGTTAACAATGATAGGTTAAAGATATTACATAGTGGTTCAGCTATAATTTCAGCTGCTAATTTTAAAAAGACGGGTTCTAGGTTATCCGGTCCTGATGATTTTCTGGGATTTAATTCTTTTAGAGCCCTTTCTACATCTGCTGAGGTAAAAGGAATAAGATTAAAGACTTGCATGTTATCATTTCTACAGTATGAGACCGGTGATTCTGTGGATAAGTTATTATACTGAACCAAGTTGCCAGATGAAATAAAATGTCTGTTAAAGTGATTTAATATTGCTGTCTTATCAGTTATTCTGGTATCATCGACAAGTATATTGAGAGGAAGATTAGTTGTGTCATTGTTAGCGGACAATGATTTGATAGTTTTCCAAAATTTTTTTGGGTTATTGAGATTTCCGAGGGTGGAGGACAGGTAATAGTCGGCTTTAGTTTTTCTAAGCAAAAGGGTAAATTTATTTCTGAGTTGTCTAAATTTAAGCCAATCAGTCTCTAAATTTGACTCACGAGCCTTGGCCCAGGAGGCATTACGTTTACGCAATAGATCTGCCAGGTCAATAGAAAACCAAGGGTTCTCGCGCCCTTTAATTCTAAATTTACGGAGAGGGGCATGTTTGTTTATAAAGTAACTGAAGTTATGATGAAAGTAGTTCCACGCCAGATTAACATCGTGAAAAAGAATGATTCTTTTCCAATTGAAATTATGTAGATCATGCAGGAAGGCTTGCTCATTAAATGACTTCATATGGCATTTCACAACAAAACGTGGCTTACATTTAGTGATCCTTGTGTCTCTCACTGTGGCTGTCACACAATGATCACTCACGTCATTGGGGAAAACACCTGAAGTCACATATTTAAAAGGCATATTTGTCAGAATTAAGTCAATCAGTGTAGATTTATGTGGATAGTTGACCTTAGGTCTTGTGGGTGATTTAATTAGTTGAGTTAGATTTAGGAGATTGCACTTTGTTTTCAATGCATCTGATACAGGTTTAAGCCAATCCAAATTCAGATCACCTACCAGGATTAGTTCTTTATATTTCAATTGTGATAGGAAGTTTACAATCGTTGATAAAGTTTTAGTAGGAGCAGATGGGGGTCTATAACATCCCACTAATGTAATTATAAGGTTTGTGGATAATTCAATTTCAAGAGCTAAAAATTCCAATTCTTTGTATACCAACTCAGAGAGGACTGATTTTGCATTGAATTTCTGCTTTATATATATATAGCTACTCCACCACCTTTTTTTTGTCGATCGGTACAATAAACATTGTAACCGCTGATGGTAATATCCTTATTAGGCACGGAGTTATTAAGCCAAGTTTCCGATAGCACAACGATATCGGCATTAGTTGAGTTTATCCAAATCTTTATCATATCTAGTTTAGGAAGTAAACTCCTGACGTTGATGTGAATAATCATAATAAACTAAATACAATATAATATAAATATAAATATAATATAAATATAATAAACTAAATACACAAGACAAGGCAAAAGGAATAAGCAACAGGTGATGACAATCAGGAGTTAACACTAGGTAACGAGGGGGCGTGGCACACACTAGGATCGTACGGAGCTGGGCGTGACAATAATTAATATAATTATTGGGAATATAACATAAGCATCTCCATATAATATATATATAGAACTCGAATTTCTTAAAAGTCAAACCAACCAGTTAAAAAAAAAGTGACCTACAGCTCGATCTGAATCTCAAAAGTCAAACCGTGAACGCAGACCTAAGATAACTTGTACGCGCGGGGAAATGAGTCACGCGGCATGTCTTTCAGCGGAAACAAAGGGTAACACTTCAGTCTCAGCCTCGCATTCGCTGTGATAGCATCGTGCATGTTTACACTAGCGGAATACATATATTTAGACAGTAAAAATACATTTAGACAATGATAGACAGTAACAGTAATTATTATTATATAATAAAATACATAAAAAAATAAAGATTTCTTATTCATTATTTTAATATTAATAATAAACCATTAATACGTTTAATTACACTGCCCATCCAAAAAAAAGTCACCATTTGAATTTATATCAGTAAGTAGGGCTGGAGGATATCATATCGATATTATATCGCGCATGCGCAATAATCACTAGGGCTTCAGATGACAGGCGCAACATTTGGTGGTGCGCCAGCTTTTCTGTGCTATACGGACATTTATTTACG